ATTTTATAAACCAAAACCAATCCGAAATCCAAAATAATAATTCGGTTTTTCTTGAAAACCAATCCAAAAATCCGAATATCCAAACCAAATTTGTTAAATTTAATACTTCGGTTTTATCCGAATAGTGAACAGTCCTAATCATGACACCTAGGCTAATCTACAGGTGTCAAAATAACCAACATAACGACAGGTAACTTAAGTAACAGAATACGATCACAATCATAACGATACAAAGCACAACATCGTTCCGAAACTCATTTTGCTATACAAAACTCGAATACAAGACAAAATGCAATCCTAACAAAAACTAAAAAACTCATGTTGTCAAACAAAAAAAAAAAAAAATTTCAAGCTTTTTTAAAAGCAAAAAGACAGTTCTCAAAAAACTTCATGTCAAACATGTTCATATTCAAGGGCTTCCTCATGATCATATATGTAAAAGACATAACTATACTTCTACTTATTATCAAAAATCTTCCCTAGAAAACAATTTGGAGGTAAAATATACGGCATATATAACCAATCATGGATCGATTAGAATAAAGAAAAACAGTTTAAAACGGATAAAAACACCCTATAAGTTCAGCACTTTCCCAAATTTGATTTTGGTGTCAAAATTTAACAAAATGAAATTTTCATGGTTCTTAACCCCTAAAAAACTTAACTCCTATCTCCACATGACATAAGATGTTTTTCAGCAATTCAAGACTATTCAAAACCTCAAAGCAACATTTTCAAGAGTTTTATCAGGCATTCAACACTTGATTTTTGAAGCCTCGAGATCCTTGTATGAACAACAATTTCAAGAAACATTGGATCAAACAAAACAGATATTTCAAATCAGCCAAGAACCAATATAGTTAATAATGGCTCAAAAGTTTTATCAGTCATTCAACACTTGTTTATATATGAAAATGTCAGCACAAAAATGAAATCTGACTCACTGAAACATAACTCCAAAAGAAATAAAAAGAGTACTAATCATCATAAATTCATAAAAAACAAACTTCAGTAAAGAGAATAATCATCACCACTCTCAGTCAAAGCCCCTCTTACCCAGGCCCATCACACCGAATCTCCATTGTCACTTAAATCAACAGCTTCTCAATCGCATCCTGCAACTCCCAAAAACAAAAAGGTCAAAATCCATATATAAGACAGAACAAAACAAGTTGTACAAAAAAGACATTACCTTGAGCTGCTGTATTTGGGATCTCAATTGACTTCCTTCATTAGAAGTCACTGAACATGCAATAACAGCTCTAGTAACTCCACATGCTCTCCCAAGTGCTTCCTTTGAGGGGACAAAAACATAGGGTACATTCTGCCAAAACCATTCATATCAGTTTCCAGAAAAAAATCGTTTTTTTTTCAGTTTATGTTCTGATCATAAGAGCATATGAAAGTATCAGCGAAAAAGATTAAGTGGTTTGAAACAATTAGTTCATCTATTGATTCGTGAGTGTAAAAACACATAAGTTATCAGACTAAATGTACCTTATCTTCAGCCAGAAGTGGAAGATGAAGAAGAATTTCAAGAGGCTCGGCATCAGCTGCCATCACTACAAACTCGGATATACCTCTGTTCAGGGTCTTTGTAGCTGTAATTCAGAGGGATCGTTAAAATTAATCAACTTTACAACAAAAAGACACATGATTATATGTATAGAATCTCTATCAAGTTCGCAAACAATTCACTAATATTAATTGAATGGGTGGATTGTTAAAATCTAATCGTGAATGCAAACACTTAGGGTAGACTGTTCGGAAATCACTCTGATTTAGGATAAATAATGTTACAATCTCTGGTGTTCATAAACATTAGATTTGACTATGTAATCGGGAGAAGTAGGGTTTGTGGGAATAAAAATCGTACCTTCGTTGGCACCTTTCTTGAGTTGTTTGTAATTGGCAGCTTGTTGGACGAGATCCAGTATCGTTATTGTAAGCTGAGCATCAGCCAATGGATACGCTTTTGGATTGACGGCTTCTCCTGTCTGCAAAAGAAATTGAAACGAAAATCAAAGAAATTAGGGTGAATTGGAGATATGTGTGTTTGCTATTGAACACAAAGCACAAAGTGGAACACAAATTCAAAAGTGGAAGACGATAGAGAAAGAGAGATCACCATTTTTTTCGGCGGATAGGCTGAAAGAGAAAGAGGTGCTAGGGTTTTGCGGAGAAATAAGAGGTAGCTAGGGTTTTACCGAGTAATGAAAAGGGGCTAGGGTTGTAGAAGAAATGAGACGATGTATGAAAGGCTACAGAAAGGCTTTTTGACCATGAAACGACGTCGCATCCCATTAAGTAGTTCAAATATTCTTTTTCTGTTTGAGTAAATTACACAAATGGTCCCTATGATTTTGGTTAATTTGCATGTTTGGTCTCTAACTTATTTTTTTAACTCGGAAGGTCCCTGTCTTAACTAAAAAGACTATTTTGCCCTTGATTTTTTAATTTATTTAAATAAGGTGGGGTAGGTAAGATAAGGTAAGGTGAGGTGGAAGTGGGGTTGGGGGTATGTTTATTTAAATAAATTAAAAAATCAAGATTAAAATAGTCTTTTTAGGTAAGACAATGACCAAGCGCGCAACAAAAACAAACAGTAAGAACCTTCCAAGTTAAAAAAATAAGTTAGGGATCAAACGTGCAAATTACCCCAAACCATAAGGACCATTTGTGTAATTTACTCTTTGTGTTTCTTTTACCTTTTTTTGTTATAATGGTTTTGAGCCATTTAACCAACTTTAGTAAACTCGACTCTACATTAGAGATACATATTTAAATCGGTTTCCGACCTAATTTCGAACGCGCCTAAAATCAAGTTCCGCAAAGACAGATTCTTGTAAGATCGACTTCATTTAGCAGTTCAATAACTTGAGTATATATCTCTTTCACAATCGGGTTAATAAGCGGATCATATGACCGATTCAAATCATTCAAAAGATTGTGGTTAGTCAAAAACTAAGGTGATGTTTGTTTTTTGTAAAAAAACTTCTTCAGACCTCTAATTGATGTACGGCATTGCACACATGCAGCACATTTCATCTCGCAGTTGTTTGTTTTTCAGAAGTTTTCGGAGTAAAAAACTTTTGCACCTGTTATGTTTGGGGCAGCACTTGTATTGTCTCTTCCAACATCTTCTTCTTTTTTTTTTGCTAAAATCTTGATGAATCTTATTATATGTAGTTGAATCTTGCTGAATTCTTGTTCACCTTTTTTTCGTTTCTTTTTATTTATTCTTACTGAATTATTTTTTCGTTTTTTTTTACATTTAATAATGATAATTTCTTGCTGAAATATCATTATTTTTTTGCTGAAATATCATTATTTTTTGCTAAAATATCATAAAATCATGTTGAAATGTCATATATTATTAAAATTTCGGTATTAAAAAACTATTTTCGGTATATAAAATCAGTTTATTTTAATTTTTTAATATCTGCAGCAGCATGCAGATGTTAAAAAACAAACATGTTTATTATCACAATCTACCGTTTGATCAACCTCTTCTGCCGCAGAGGGTTGCAAAGGTGGTTCGCAGACTTCATGAATTTTTGCTTCAAAAAAACAAACAACACCTAACTTTTTTTATTTTCTTTTATATTAACGGTAATATAGTCATGGGAACCGGTCTTTGGCCTTTTGATTATTTTGTCCACACTTTTATTTATAAATATGAGTGGTTCAATTGGTTCAGCAAAAAACCTATTCTCTAATATTAAATTCTTGATAAATTGCATGTTATCGGCTTTTTGTAAGATAGAAAAAAAATGATCTTGTAAGATAGAAGAATTTCACTTAGGTATTCCAGCGTCAAAGGTCCATGGCCAAGTAGTTCCTTAATACTGAAAATAGATGAGAGGTATTTGGAGGAATTTTGTGCGATTGAATAAAGAAACAGTTTTTTTTTTGTATACTTTGTGTCTAAATGTATCAACTATCAAGGGCATGCATAAATAACTTATTGGACGTTGTGTAAACGACTTAACTAAATAGCGGTATAAATAGGTCTTGTGTTATCATTATTGAGTATGCATCTAAAATTGTCATTCTTGTTAAAAAATATATATTTTCTCCCTCCCTCCTCTTGATACTTTAAATAATCATTAAACTCGTTCATACCAAATTTGTCATATTACCATTAATATCATTTTCTATTTGTATTATGTTTCAATTACACAAGTTTGTAAGATATTTTTAGATTTTTGCTCATAATTATTAGTTTGTGCAAACATGAGAATTGTATGTTTTTCATGCCTAGATCACATGGGCCATGTGAATTCACAAACTTGTGAAAAAATCCAACTCCTTAGTAATGATTAAATGTGCATTCGGTTGCTTCCATACAATTGCGGTTTGAGGATCTATGAGATGATTGGATTGTTTAATCTTAGTAAACCTAATTAGCAAATTTGATGTTAATTAGTGTTGATTAATTAGCTTAGTTATTTTCATGCGGATGTTATATAATCTTCCTTATACTTAGAAGAGTATGATAGAATGTTGCATACACACATAAGGTGAGAACATTACCCTATAAGCACATGTCCCCTGTATGAAAATGTATTTTGAGTTTTCATCTATTTGAAATATTATATGTATACATTGATTGGAATACTATATGCATAATTTGTTGCATTCATTATTCATTGTGTGCAAATGTTTGGAAAGAGTTGAAGTATGTATGTTTTTTAAATAAACGTCGAATGCTTTTAATACATTTTGAGAAAGATATAGTTTTAGATGGAAAAGTCTCTTAAGTATTTTCAAAAAATTAAGACTTTTTGAGTTTTCAAATCATGATTATGTATATGCATGCATTGGGCAAGATTTTAGACTACTATATTCCAGACATTGTTGAAAATCGGATATCCAAATTGCAACCTTAGAAAACTCGTGAGTGTTAATTTTATTCTAGGTTGTCTTCACGAGTGAGGTCTCTAAATATATTTAATGTTTTGTGCCATCTTATTTATATTCTTCGAGTTACCATATGTCTGTTGGCGTACACCTTAGGTCTCCATTGTGAAACGTGGTACATTAACTTGCGAACTAGATATGACTTAGGGTTGTCGGAATTTGTTCCATTTCATGCATTACATTATTTATCACTGTTTATATTACTTTTATGAATTTATAATGATTATAGAAATGTATTTTAATTATTGAAATGCCTTTTCCCCATAACTTAGTTTAAAGAGTTTTATGAGCTCTTGATAAAGAAGGGATTATGATATTTTATAGGAAACATGTTTATAATGATTTTACTTATTTAATCCAAGTATTACTCAGTAAGCCACCAATGTCCAACGCGTAATTTTAACAAGTGATAAGGTTAGTACTAGTCATTTTGTGACAAGTGACATCTTGGATATCGATGAGCTTTAAGGACGTTTAGAAAACCTTATGTCATGTTTGAGATAGTTAGACTTGTTCAACTCAACTTGTATCTTGTATTGATTGTTATGTCTTCGTATAATCTTTTTTAACAACATACTTTTGCTTGTTAAAGAAAACTTTTAAGTTGATACTTTTCCATAATTTATACTTTAATGATTTTCAAATCTATTTGAAATGAAGTTTTAAAGACTTTCTCAAACTGCTTATATGATGGATTGTTTCAATTGTACAGACTTTCTAAACATATTCTAATGTTGAACATTAGGTGGATATTTACGTTATTTACACATAAAAATCTCGACAAATCATCATACCACTTTTTGTAGATGATACAAAAAAGTTACAACTTTGTCCCGTTTACCTCATTTCCCATACAAGTACATATTTATCTGCCATGTCATTTCCTACATAACAAAATAAGGCCAAACAAAAGAAAAAGAAATCATGTGTATATGCATATAACTAAGTTGGCATCTTCAAAGTACCATTCCAACAAAACAAAATTGAATTAGCATATTGATTATGCCCAAAGGTATCAACCAATTCTTCTTAAAATGTCAGAAAAATGCCCATATAAGGAATGGTTACATACATATCAATTAACTATGTTCTTTCACCATGTGTAATCTCCCTCATTTCCTCAGCGCCAGCAGCCAACGATTCGTCAAATTTACCAGTCTTCCCCAACAATACTTCAATATAATCAACAAAAACCATATCGATTATCAATTCATCATTATAGTTTATAGTTTGCAATGAAAAAATGGAAACTAGATCTGTAACTTCGTGATTTTCATCTAAAAATCTCTATTTTTAAAACATCATTAAACGACAATTAGCAACAAAAGTATTTAAAATAAACATTATCAAAATAATCACCAACATTACGTTTAAACCGAAAACGACCCAAACAAAAAAAATTAAGTAATATTACTCAAAACACAATGATGACCAACAAGACATGTTCAAGTGATATCAACATAATGAAATCATAACTATCCAAAATGTTTCCCATCTCACTAAGACACACTCCTAAACAACATGTATCATCACATGGCAAAACATGGAAAAACACAACAAGAACAAGTGTCAACAACTGCTTAGTGAATCAACCATTTATACAGTGTCAAAGTGAAAACATACAAATTTCCCTAACGGGTCAATCATTCAATTTAACAACACACAACACATTTTCAACTTTCCATAGCACATTACAATACTATTAAATTTCATCACTATAATATTTTTACATTTCATTCTTCGCTTTATTTGTAAGGTCGAACCTTGTAATATGATGAGTCAAGCCAACTTCATGTTGATACATTGTTTGTCAGTGTATAAGTCGTTGACCAAAGCTTCTCACAACAACGTGAAGATTACTTTTGTAACATTATTCCAGATCTGCTATCTTCGTGATAAGATCTTTTATTTGTATAGTTTATATTATTTTTGTAAAGTTATATTCAAACCCCTGATTTTTTGGGATCTCATTTCTAAAATCATCCATCCTAGTATATAAGTTACACTAAGGTTTATTGTAAAATGTATTTCTTGGTGTATTCTCTTTGTGAGAAGTTCTTAATCAAAGTTGGTTTTTGATTATTTTGTGTTATTTATTGCTTGATATTTGTTCATTACGGACCTTCAATTTGTATCAGAGTGGGTTCTAATTATATCAAGCAATACCGACTTCCACTAGAGTCTCTAAACCTACTACCAGTTCAACATCTGCCAATAAATTTTCGTTGTTCAATGAAAAAAATTCGCTATGTGGAAAAAGCACGGCCATGGTTGTAGTTGAAACTATGGATTCAAACATGATGGACATCATCAAAAAAGGTCCATATAC